GCTCTTTGGTACTTCAATTCTTTCTTTCTGATTGCTTGCCATGTTTTTAACTTGACCTAGTAATTCTGGATTTTAGCTAAAATATTCCTAGGATTTTCCATTTTGGGGTTTCTTTCAGCTGGTGACTGGTGAATTCTTTCAATTTTTGTTTTGCTCTCTGGTTCTAAGAGATCTGGGTAGTTTTCTTTTATAACTTCTTGAAATATGATACCTAGGCTTATTTCTCCTCAATTTGTTTTCTAAGTATTTCCTATAGGAGATTTTACATTTTCCTCTATATTTCTCACTTTTAACTTTGTTTTATATTTTTTTAGAAAAAATTTCATGAAGTTATTAGCTTCCATTTGGCAAATTCTATTTTTTTTTTTTTTAGGCACTTGGGGTTAAGTGACTTGCCCAGGGTCACACAGCTAGTAAATGTTATAAGTCTGAGGCTGATTGTGAAGGGCCAGTGCTCTATCCACTACGTCTCCTAGCTGCTTCTCAATTCTAATTTTCAAGGAGTTATTTTCTTCATTAAGGCTTTGTACTTCTTTTCCCAAGCTGTTAATTCTTTTTTCATGTCTTTCTTCCTTAGCTCTTGCTTCTTTTTCCATTTTTCTTCCACCATTTTAATTGTTTTTTTAAATAATTTTTTTAGCTCTTTATCTCTTTTAGGATACTCATCTTTATAGTTGTTTTTGAGTTATTCTCTTCTTCTAGGTTTGTGTCTTGAACTTCCATGTCCCCATAATAGCTCTTAATGGTGATACTCTTTTTTTTTTTTTTTATTCTAGCCTCACTTCTTGACTTTGGGCTTTATGTTAGTGTTGTGCTCTGCATAATTCTGGGAAGGATATCTGATCTGGGCTTCTGTCCTTTTACATCCTTCTGCTGTTTTTACAGCTCAGGCTGGGGGCCTGAAAGCTTTCAGAGGTCCCCAAATGGGCTGGTGTGTTCACTGTGCCCCTGGTCTGAGCTTTGTCAATTCCTGACCCAGGCTTGGATCTGTCATCTTCTCCTTGGTTGTAAATTTCAGTAGATTGCTGCTGGAGTCAGTCATTTAGCCTGCTGAAAGACTTTGCAGGTTCAGACACTGAACTGCTGATTCCCCCCTCCCCCCCACTTTGGTCATAGACGATTGCTTTATTTCAATGTAGGTTTACCAGGAGTCAGAGCTTCCAGATAGTACCTATTTCTATACCCAGCACTATTTCAGAGATGATCATCACCCTGGATCTTTCTGCTGGGGTGTTTCCTGCCTCAGTGCTCTGTCTCAGCCCTTTTTCAGTGCCTGGGTGGTGGAATGATCCACACCATGTATGTTCCTGGCCAATGTCCACATAACTCTCTCTCTCCCTTAGTCACACAGAGCTGGAAAATGACTCATCATGACTTTTTCTTGGCTTTTCCATATGGAATTGGTTTCATGCATTTTCTAAGTAGTTATGGAGAAGGGATAGTGGGTAGCTAGGCTCTAATGTTTCTCACTCCACCTTCTTGACTCCCACCAGTTCCATTTCCACAGTCCATCTAATGTCCATTTCTTCACCATTCAGTAAGAAGACAGAAACAGAAAATACTTACAGGTTCACCAAACATCCCTGTGTGCATGCTTCCAGGACCGGTCCCACATTGGTCAGTCCTTCATTACATGTTTACTAATCATTCCTTACAATATGTTCCAGAATTTTGTCAAGAATAAACATCAAACTCACGGTCCTAGAGTTTATAGACACCAGTTTCTCCCCTTTGTCTAAAGTTGGTGCAATGCTTACCACTCTCTCCATTCTGGTCTCTCCTCCCCAACTCTCCATGACCTTTCAAGGACCACTGATCAATCCCACTTGCTGCATAGCCCTGAAGAGTTTGTGATGTCATAGAATCTCAGAACCTCATAGATAGAAAGGAAAGGCCCCTAGGGGCAGTCTAACCTATGCCTGAGCAACAAAAATAAGAATAATGAGCATGTATAGAATGTTTTAAGGTTTATAAAGCACTCTCCCTACATTAACTCATTTAATTCTTACAACGACCCTGGGAGGGATGGGCTATAACCATCATCATCCCCAATTTGCAGATGAGACAACTGAGGAATCTTGTCTAAAATATTCCTGATGAGTCATCATTCAACCTCTTCAGGAGACTGCCAATGAGGAGGAACCCAACCTCCAAGGCAGACATTTCCAGTTCTGGACATCTGTAGAAGAGATAGATAGATAGAATGAAAGAAAGAAAGACATATAGAAAAGTAGAAAGAAAGACAGATAGAGAATTATAATTCTGTTCAAGATGATGAAACCAAGGCTCAGAGGAGTTAAGTGCTTTATCCTCGTGGTCCCCTAGCTAGTATCAGAAGCAGCATCTGAACCCAGGTCTCCCTTGACTACAGGTTCAGCGCTCATCCCGTATACCTGTGGCCTTGTAGGGAACGCCAACCAGATCCTGTTGGAGTAAACGCCTCTCTCTGTCCAAAGGGATATGAAGGGAAAATGAGCACCCTGGCCCACAGATGACTCTTACAATTGTGCTTCCTCCCCTTTTCCAATACTGGGAGATTCAGCAGTCCAATGGGTTAGCTATTAACTGTGAATGGGTTTTTGGTGTTGTTTCAGATCTTCCTATACTTGGAGTTTAAGAAGCCTGATGAGCAGCAGAGTGGTGGTGGTGGTGGTGGACGTGATGGATTAATAGCCCTTTCAGCAAACAAATGGAGACTTTGGGGGAAGGAGTTTAGTTAATAATTAATCCATTAAATTGGCGAAGCTCCTCTGTCCCCCAAACTAAGCACACCATCTCCCCATTTCCCAGACCTCAGAAATATTCTATCACAAATGACCAATGGCAGAAGGTAAGGGCTGGGCCTGATGGTGAGTAGATGGGCCTGGTGGTAGGCTAGGAGTAGAAGAAGTAGTGGACTGTGGCTGCTTCTGTAGCCAAGCTGAACTAGTGACCAAATAGGAAGAATGGAGGCTAGGAAGGATCCCACTGTTTTCTTATCTCATGGGAGTTTTCAAGGCTAATCCGTTTTGGGCTGGGGTAGGGAAGGAAGGTCAGCTGTGCCTCAGTGAGCAGGCAGCAAGCTAGTTTTTTCAGTGCATCCATCTGGTGTGCCTTTAGGGGCCATGTCACAGCCCATCCAGCATTTGGGGGAGAGGAGGGCACCCTAGGGAGGAGCAGTTGCCCTGGGCCCAGTGGCAGCCTGAGATTAAGGGACAGAGGCTCCCCACAATGGGCCTGTGGAAAGAGGAGGGAGAGAGAAGACAGCCTTGTGCCTTTATTGCCCTTAACTTTGTGTCTGCAGTCCTGGGGACACTGGTTATCCCTCCAGGTGGTATTCTCCACATTATCAAACTTTTCTGGGTCCAGAAAAGACCCCCAAGGGGTTAGGAAAGAAAGCCAGGCTGAAAGTGGGGCTCTCGGGCAGGGGAAGATGTTAGAGGTGAGGAGGCACCTCAGGGGTGGACAAGAAAGGGGACAGAGCTACAGCAGCAGTCCCTGCAGGAGGGCTAAGCCTTTCTGGGAGGCCAAGTTGCCACCTCCTCCATCCTGGTGACCTTTATTTTCCTGGGTGTTTGACCCTCCCAAGCTAGTTGGAGGATGGGGGATGGGGGATGGGGCAAGCTGGGAGGCAGGTAGCACCTGGAAGGCTCGGTGACTTCGTCCCTGCTTAACAATGTGATCCTTGTTGGCATGAGTCATGCCACCGAAGATCGCCCCTCTGGAAGGGGGATCCATCTATAGCCCTCCAAGTTGTGCCAAGTTGTCTGGAAGCCAAGAGGCCTGAGTCTTGGTTCCTGTAAGGACGCTGATCTTGGGCCTCTAGAAAAGGACCGGGCTAGACCAGTTAGCCTCTAAGGCCCATTCTGTGAGATTTGGGATCTACTTAACTCTGTCCCAGGTCAGTCTCAGTTTCAGTAAGAGTCCAATGAACCTTCCTGTGTGACCCTGGACAAATCACTTCCTCTCTCTGGGGCCTCAGTTTTTTCTTTCGTAAAATTGAGGACATGTACTGGGTGATCCCTAAGATCCCCTCCAGCTTTAACATGAGATTAGGGAAGAGGGTCTGACTTCAATCCCTCTTTGTATCCCTTCCCCCAGTAGTATCCATCTGTTCATTGGTAGGGCTCATTTTCCACCACTGAAAGTACTAAGACTTTTTGGATGTCAAATATGAGGGGGAAAAGCTAATCCTTAACACTTACAGTATTTTCAGGTTTGTAAAATTCAATACAAGTCACTTTATTTGACCCTCACAATAATGCTATGAAGTAGCCACTGTTATTAGCACAGAGAGGCACTCGTGTCTAAGCAGGATTCAAAGGTCAAGTCCTGTGGACTCCAAGTTCAACATTCTAAGCAGATCAGTTTAAATCAGAAATGGTCCAACGGCCCTGGAGGGGGGGGAGGGGGAGCTCTCTCAGGTCCTCCTGGAAACTCTCTTTCTGCCTCAGGGAGGTGTCTGCTGCATCCTCCCCCAAACCAAAGGGGATGTCTATGTTGTTTGTCCCAGATGCCCAAACGCCCCAGGATGGCTTTCCCCCCAGTGCCTGCAGTGTGGAGGGGGCAGCAGCAGCAGCAGCAGGAGAAGGAAGGGATGTCTCTGTCTTCCTGGCTCCCTTCATAGGGCGATGTTCCTCAATGCAGCCTGAGGTGCGGTCTGCAGGAAGATGTCCTCCAGATGGTCAGTTTATGGGCAGCTCTGCTATGCCCCAGTGGCATGTGTGGCTGACCTGGGGCTACTCACTGAGGAGGTCCCAGCTCTGAGACTGCTTTCTTTTCTTCTCTCCTAAGTCAGTGACCTCCTAGGTCACTGAACCAAAACATTCCCAAAGCTACCAGAATATGTTTCCAAGAGGCTTTCTGGGAACTGGCCCCAACTTAGCAGGGAGTTAGCAGATCCCGTCCCTGAGACAGGACAACAACCTCTGTGTTGCAATGATTTCAACATAAACTGTTTAGCTAAACTGGGGGTGGGGGGGTGGAGCTGGCAGGGGGTGGGTGGGGGTGTTCGTGCTCTCTGAATACCGAAAATTGTGTAGCACCAGGAATCTATCCATGGCAACTGAGTGGAGCAATGAGGCTACTCTTTTGTGGTAATTAAAAAAAAAACAAACAGAAAATACCAGAGGAAGAGGGAGAGGTAGAGAAAGACACACAGAGAGAACGGGAAGAGAAAGAAGACCGGGAGTGGAGAGGATTTATAATCAGTCTTTGCAACCCTGGTGACAGTTCCCTCGGCAGCCAGTGAGGTGGTAAGCAGATCAGAATGGAACTAGCTGTGATCCTCCTGCTTGTGGCCAGCCAGTTGAACGTCCAGGTTGAGTCTCAGGTGAAGGATGTTGCCTGCGATGATAACGATGTCTTCCGAGCCGTGGATGTAGCACTGACGAAATACAATAACCAAAAGTCCTCGGGCCCCCAGTTTGTCCTGTACCGAATAATCACAGCCTCGCTGACGGTGAGTGAGTGACCTTTGTGGCCACATCCTGGGCTCTGTTTGCTGACTGTCCTGTGCCGGTAAGCCAATGCCCAGGGGCTCACTTACTGTCCCTCTGTGGCACCTCCATGCCTCATTCCTCAGCACTTCTCAAAGGAGAGTCCCAATGTCCAACCCACCCATGGCCTCCAGACCCACTCTTCTTTCTGTTGTGGGCATCACCATGCTTCCGTGCACCCAAGTGTAGAAGCTGGGGGTTATTTTCAGCTCCTCGTCTCTCCCTCCATACGCATAGGTAAGCTGTTGCCAAGTCTTGATTCTGCCTCCATAATTTATTGAGTCCATCCCACTCTTTCCACTCACATGGCTACCAGCTGACTTTAGTCCCATATCATCTCTTAGACAGACTGTTGTCAAAGCTACCTAATTGGAATCCTGACTTTCATTCTCTTTCCTCTCCCATGGGTCCCTGCTACCAACATTCTAATCATGGCACTTCCCACCTGAAAGAGTTTTACTAGCTTCCTATTGCCTCTAGGGTGAAATAGAAACTCTTCCGACTGTCATGAAAGCCTCTTCACAATCAATCGAGTTCCAGTCTACCTTTCCAAGTAGATTGTATATTATTCCTTTTTCTTCCCTCAGTGGTGCAGCCAAACTGTCCTACTTGGCTGTTTATCTGGACTTGGCATATCATCCTACTTCCATGACTTTGTACAGGCTGTTTGTCCCGGAATTTCTAGAGTGCTCAGCCTCGTCACCCCTGCCCATCAGAATCCCAAGCTTACTTTTGGGCTTAGCCCATCTGCCGCATCCTATAGGAAGCTTTTCTGGGTCCCCCTAGCTGTTAGTCCTAACAGCCCCCACCCACCCTCACCCCATGATTATGTATAGGTTATCTGTTTATTCCTTCCTGGGAGTGTGTAAACTCCTTAAGGTCAGAGACAGCTTTTCATTTTGTCTTTGAATACCCAGAACATAGCCTCATACATAGTAGCCATTTCATAAATGCTTATTAGACTGTATTGGATCAGATTGGATTGAATTACCATACTGTCGACATCATATGGTGGCTATAATTTAAAAAATATATGTTTTTATTTATTTCATTCAATATTTCCCAATTACACGTAACGAATTTTTAACAATCACTTTGAAAATTTTGAGTTCCAGATTCTCTCCCTCCCTTCTGCCCCTCCCCTCTCCTTGAGGGGGCAAGCAATTTGATATCGATTATATATGTGGTCATGCAAAATATATTTCCGAATTAACCATGTTGCAAAAGAAAACACAAACAAAATAAAACAATAAAAATAAATGAATTTTAAAAAAGCATGTTTCAATCTGTTTTCAGAATTCGATAGTACCTATCGTCTTTCTCTGGAGGTAGACAGCATTTTTTATTGTGGGTCCTTTGGAATTATCTTCAATCATTGTCTTGATCAGAGTAACTAAGTCTTTCACAGTTGATCATCATTACAATATTGCAGTTACTGTATACAATATTCTCCTAGTTTTGTTCATTTCATTTTGCACAAGTTCTGTCCCAAGTTTTTTTGAAATCTGCCTGCTCATCATTATAGCACAATAGTATTCCATCACAATCATGTACCACAATTTGTTCAGCCATTCTGCAATTGATGGACATCTCCTTGATTTCCAATTCTTTTCCATCACAAAAAGAGCTGCTGTAAATATTTTCTCTATATAGATCCTTTCCCTTTTCCTTTAAAAAAATTTCTTTGACTTGTGATGGAAAATGCTATGCACCTCCAGAGAAAGAACTATGAAATCTGAATCCAGATCGAAGCATACAATTTTCTCTTTCTTTTCTTTGTCATGGTTTTCCCCTTTTGTTCTTATTCTTCTTTCACAAAATTACTAAGGTGGAAATACATTTAACATGAATGTACGTGTGTAGCCTGTATCACTGCATGATGTCTTGGGGAGGGAGAAGGGAGGGAGGGATAAAATTTGGAACTCAAAATCTTATAAAAGTGAATATTGAAAACTAAAAACAAATAAATAAAAAGCAGGACGATGAAAACATCTCTTTGGTTTGGTGCTAATACCTACTCCAGGAAGAGCTAAAACAGAGAAAGAAAACTATAGAGCAATATCCCTAATGAATATTGTTGAAAAAATTTAAATAAAATGCTAGCAAAAAGATTATGGCAATATATCTCAAGGGTCATACACTATAATTAGGTGGCATTAATGTTAGGAATGTAGGGCTGGTTCAATATTAAGAAAACCATCAGCATAATTGACAATATCAATAAAAAACCAACAGAAATCTCATGTGATTATCTCATTAGATGCAGGAAAAGATTTTTTGATAAAATATAACACTCATTCCTATTAAAAACACGAAATAGCATAGGAATAAAGGGAGCTTTCCTTAAAATAAATAATAGTACCTATCAAAAACCAGCAAGCATTATCTATAATGAGGATAAGCTAGAAGCCCTTCCCAATAGGATCAGGGGTGAAACAAAGATGCTCATTATCACCAGTATTATTCAATATTGTACTAGGATGTTAGCTTTGGCAGTAAGACAGGAAAAAGAAATTGAAGGAATTAGACTAGGCAATATGGAAACAAAACTATCACTCTTTGCAGATAGTATGATGGTATACTTAGAGAATCCTAAAGAATCAACTAAAAAAACTACTTGAAATAATTAACAACTTCAGCAAAGTTGCAGGATATAAGACAAATCCACATAAATCGTCAATTTTTGAATATATTACCAACAAAGTCCAGCAGCAAGAGATAGAAAGAGAAATTCCATTTAAAATAATGGTAGACAATAAAAAATACTCGGGACTCTACCTGCCAAGAGAAACCCAGGAACTATATGAACACAACTGCAAAACACTTTTTACACAAATAAAGTCAGATCTAAACAATTGGAAAAATATCAGTTGCTCAGGGGTAGGCTGAGTCAATACAATAATAATGACAGTTCCAGTCAAATTAAAGTACTTATTCAGTGCCGTAACAATCAAACTACCAAGATATTTTATAGAGCTAGAAAAACATAACAAAATTCATCTGGGAAAAATAAAAGGTCAAGAATATCAAGGAAATTAAACTGTATTATGAAGTGGCAATCATTAGAACTCTTTGGTGCTGGCTAAGAAATTGAGTGGTGGATCAGTGGACTAGACTAGGTACACAAAACACAGTACTTTGTGTAATCCTTTCTATCTCTTGTTTGGTCATAAATTCTTCCTTTATCCACAGATTCCCTGTCCCAGGTCTTCTCACCACTTCAAACAGATTCTTAAAAAGATCTTTTAAAAGACATTTAGAATGTCTTCCCTCCCCTCCAAAACACTCTAAGAATGCTTTATCAGAGAGTACATCTTCACAGTCACCAAATGACTGAGACATGGAGAGAATCCAAGGTCCCACTTTATTTATCAATCATTGATCTGTTTTTTAAAATGAAAAAAAATTCATTTTTCTAATTGGCACATATTTCATTTCTTTCCTTTCCACCTCCATCACCTTTGGGAGAAAAAAGAAAAAGAAAAACAAAACCCTTGCAACAAATATTCATAGTCAAACCAAATAATAGCATGAGACTTTTAAATCAAATGTGATCAGGGGAATGGATTACAGAGGCAGGATTCATCAGGTGGTGGTTTAGGAACTACAAATGAGGCGGCGTGATATAATGAGATGAGTGATGTGCTGTGAATGATGAGTACTGGAATTCTAGACTTGATCAAACAATCCCTTCCCTTTTTTGAACCTCAATTTCCCCATCTACTAAATGAGATGGTTGAATTATCTGCTTTCTAATTAGATTCAACCAGCTTTTATTAGGTGGTTACTTTGGGCCAGGGACTGTGCAAGGTGCTGGGGATCCAAAGTCAGAAATGAAATGGTCCCTGACCTGCGGGACCTATATTCTGCTGAGGGGAAACAATGTGGGGTCAGGTAAGTACAATACAAGGAATTGAGGAGGGAAGTGGATTAAGGGATTGGGATGGAGTTTTCTTGTTCTATGAATCTAAGACCAGCCAAGACGATTCAATCAAACTTGCAGCAGATGTGTGATGAGACCCTCCTAGTGAAGCCCTAGGGTTGGGGGCTCTTCCAGCTTTGACCTTTTGCTCCACCCCAACATAACGTCCTTTTGCCATTTCCTGTAGGACTCCAATGAGCGCACCTTCACTATAACCTATGAAATCCGAGAAAGCAACTGCATGATTGAGACAGGCAAAAACTGGAAAGAATGTAGCTACAAAGATTCTGCAAAATGGGTAAAGTGTTTTTACTCTCTATCCTTCTTTTCCCTTTGCAATTTACACTTTGGTGAGAGAAGAGAAGAAAACCCTTCTGCTCGGTCTGACAGAGCCCAACAGAAGGAAGAAAGACTTAAAAGGTATTCTAGTGGTCTATTTTCAAAGTTAAATGGAGTTTTTTCTGAGATCAAATAAATATGATGGCTTTTGTTTTATACCATGGTTTTAGGCAGGGATGAAGGGGAAGTGGTGAAGGAGTCAATGTTACAATGATGAGGAAGGCAGGAGATTGAGCTTAGAGGCCAGGAAATCGGTGGCTGCTGCCCAAAGGCCTGATGAGGGCACCAGCTTCTTTCCTTTGCTGGGGATATCTGCAATGCTCAGAGAAAAGCCAAAAAGTAGGACTTTGGGACTAGATTTCTTTCTGGTCTACTATATCACGGTTCAGTGGTGGCCCAGTGGATAGAGCACAGGGCCTCGAGTCAGGAAGACTCATCTTCCTGAGTTCAAATCCAGCCTCAGGCACCTGCTAGCTGTGTGACTCCAGGCAAGTCTCTTAACCCTGTTTGCCTCAGTTTCATCATCTGTAAAATGAGTTGGAGAAAGAAATGACAAACCACTTCAGTATGATGTTTCTACTCTATTGCCTTTCAAATTTGGAGGATACCTAATTTCATTCATGTGGGTCCTCTCTTCACCGACTTCATAGGAGGTCTTGAGTGGTTGGGCTTGAAAAATGAATCACCGTATGATCGGTCTAAGCATCAGCAGATGAGGAGGATGATAGACGATCAGTCCAACCAAACCACAAGTCTATCACTGGGTCTGTATTTGCCATCTTAGTAGGCCTTGCTGAAGTTGAGTTCCACTGGCATAACCTACAATAACCCTGAATCACTAAGCCACCATGATCCAATGGAGAAGCAAGAAGAGAATCTAACAGGTGGAGTCCTAAGGTAGCCCATATCCTGGTTAAGGGGAAATGCTTCCAGAGCTGGGAAGAATCGTGCTCAGAAGTTCACCATTTATAGTAGCTTTCATTCAATACCTCCTCATGATAGAGCAGGATAAGCCCTGGCTCTGGAGTGAGGATCCAGGTTCAAGGCCCCATTATGAAACTTACTTCCATATCTTTGACTTAATTCAATTATCATCTATATACAGATGACCCCCACATTTATATTTCCAGCTCGAGTCTCTCCTCTGAGCTACAGTCCTTCATCACTGGTTGTCTATTAGATACTTCAAACTGGTTTTCCCAGAGACACCTCAAACTTAACACGTCCCAAAATCAAACTCATCAATTCTTCCTTAAAGCCTTCCCTGTTTCTAAGACATCAAGTCTTCAAGATTCATAACTTTGGCGTTATCCTTGACTCCTCGTTGTCCCCTGTTGCCAGACCTTGTTTCTCACTCCTCAACATCTTTTCCATCTGATCCTTTATCTCTGCTCACTCAATTGCCCCCTTCATTCAGAGCTTCCTTATTTCTGGCCTAAATGATTACTTCTTAACTGGCCTCCCTGCCTGAAGTCTCCCACCACTCCAGTCCAACCAATACATTGCTGCCAGTCATCTTCTTTAAGTCCAAATATGACTATGGTACTCCCTCACTCAATCTATGGCCAAAAGATTCTTCTTAATTAAGTGAGTTTCTACATCTATGGCTAAAGATTCGTGGTCCCTTCTTTGTGTTTAGGAGCAAGGAGAATGCACAGCCATACTGAAGAGTCAGAATGGGAAAGAATTCAAAGTCATTGAACAGAATTGCCACATCATTCCAGGTATGTGATTAGCCCAACTGTTCCAAACAGGGCCAATATCACTCTTCCTTATATCGCTCTGCATTAGTGGAGTGCATTGAGGCAACTAGGTGACACAATGGATAGAGTGCCAGGCCTGGAGGCAGGAAGGAATGACATTGTTTTTTTTTTAAATGCACACAAACAAAACCAGTGCAGCTAAAATTAGAAGGAAAGTAGGAAAATTGGAAAAAAATTTTTGCAATAAATTTCTCTGATAAAGATCTTATTTCTAAAATGTTTAGGAAACTGATACAAATTTAAAAGAATAAGAGTCGCCCCCAATTGATAAATGATATGTATATTGATAAAATTGATAAAATTGGTAAAAATTGATAAAAAGATATGTATAGGTAGTTTTCAGAGGAATAAATCCAAGCTATTAATAGAGATATGAAAAGTACTCTAAATCACTAGTAATTAGAGAAAAGCAAATTAAAACAACTCTGAAGTGCTACTTCACAGCCATTAGAGTGGTTAAGATAACAAAAAAGGAAAATGACAAATGCTGAATGGGATGTGGGAAGATAGGTATACAAATGCATTCTTGGTGGAACTAGGAGGTAGCTCAACCATTGTGGAAAGTAATTTAGAGCTATGTCCTCAAAACCATTAAGCTGTACATACCTTAACCTAGTGATACAGTTAAAAGAGGAAAGTGATCCATATTTACAAAATATTTATCACAGCTCTTTTTATGGTGGCAAAGAATTGGAAATTAAGGGGATGCCTATCAATTGGGGAATGACTGAACAAGCTGTGGTTTATGTTTGTGATAGAATACTATTGTGCTATAAGAAATGATAAAGGGGATGTTTTAAAAAAAACAAACCTGGGAAGACCTGTTTGAATAAAGTGAAGCAAGCAGAACCAGGAAAACAAATTCAGCAGTTTGATGATTTTCTCTAGCTTCCTTGAACAGCACGTGTGTAGGAGTGAAGACAATAGATGGTGGGGGCAAGCCAAGACTGAGGCTTGGCAGGTCAAGATTGACAATATGATTAGGGAGCAAAGGATTCCTGAAAAGAAGATAATGTAGAGTTCAACTGGCTCAACAAAGGGTAAAGATGGGGAAAAGAAGTGAGTGTAGCTACAGCCGGGATGATGGCTTGGGAGAGAATTGAGGGGCTGAGGAATTGGGGGTCACAGTGTGGATGAAAAACAGAATTTGTAGTTGCAAGATAAAGAAAGAGGTGGAATGATAGTAGATTGTGATCAAATAAGGCAATTTCAGAGTTCATGAACATGCAAGTAGTATATTTGTGGGTAACGACAAGATCAAGGGAATAACTATCTCTGTGTGTGACCAAAGCAGGGTGGAATACTAGGTCATGTGGAATGAGTCACGTACTATGATGTTGGAGTATTTGAGGGATTATCAATATGTATGTTGAAGTTACCTAGCATTAGGACAGGAATTGGGATAAGAGAAATATTGTGAGCCAAGCATTGAACTCCCTGAACTTATTGGGATAAGAAGGGTAGTATATCTTGGAGATCAGTAGGTAACAGCTACCAAAATTTGGATTGGGTGCTAGATATGAACTGAGTAGACCTCAAAGGAGGAGAGATTGCTGAATGATAGTGGTAGAAAATGGACCTGGAAGTGGCAATGGGGAGCAAAGCATAGTTCTACTCCCCCTTTTTGATCAGTGAGCTGGAGAAATGAGTGAAAATGTAGCCAGTGAATTGTTTTTTAATAATTACAGCTTTGTAGTTTAGTTCAAAATCTGAGAGGTAGGTGCCCTTCCTTCAAACTTTTTTTTCTCATTAATTGCTTATTCTTGAACTTTTTTTCCCACCAGATGAATTTTGTCGTATTTTTTTCTAGCTCTAGAAAGTAATTCCTTGGTAGTTCAATTCATATGGCACCGAATAAGTAAATTAATTTAGGTAGTATTGTTATTTTCATTATATTGTCTTGGTCTACTCATGAACAATTAACATCTCTCCACTTTTTAAGATCTGTCTTTATTTGTGTGAAGAGTATTTTATAATTGTATTCAGATAGTTCCTTAGTGTGTCTTGGCAGTAGGGTCCCAAGTATTTTACACTGTCTGCAATTATTTTAAAAGGTATTTCTCTTTCTGTCTCTTCCTGCTGGGTTTTGTTGATAATATAGAGAAGTGCTGCAACTTTGGTAAGATTTTTAATTTTTTCCACCAGTTTTTTAGTTGACTCTCTAGGGTTCTCTCAGTAAGCCACAACATCATTTGGAAAAGTGATGATTTTGTCTATGCTTATTCTTTCAATTTCTTTTTCTTGTCTTATTGGTATAGCTAGAATTTCTAGAACTATATTGAAAAGTAATGGTGATAATGGCCACCCTTCCTTCACCCTTGATCTTATCAGAAAAGCTTCTAGTTTATTTCCATTACAGATAAGGCTCACTCTTAGTTTTAGATAGGTACTACTTATCAGTTTAAGGCAAGCTCCATTTATTCCTTTGCTTTCTAGTGTTTTTTTTCCCCTTTAAACAGGAATGGATATTTATCTTGTCAAAAGTTTTCCCTTATTTAGTGATAAAATTGTATGATTTTTCTTGTATCTAATATTACTATGGTCAGTGAAATTTACAGTTTTCCAAATAACGAATCAGCTCGGCATTTCCTAGATAAATCTATTCTGGTCATATTGTATAATCTTTAATTTTTGCAACAATATTCATTGGGGAAATTGGTATAGAGTTTTTTTCTCTGGCTTGACTCTTCCTAGTTTAAGTATTAAGACTATATTTGTGTCATAGGAAGAATTTGACAGGATCTTTTCTTTTCCTATTTTTTTTTCAAATAGTAGTATTGGAATTCATTGTTCTTTAATCATTTGATACAGTTCTCTTGTCAATCCATTTGGTTCTTTGCGTTTTCTTTGGGAGTTCATTTATGGTTTATTCAATTTCTTTTTATAAAATAAGGTTATTTAAGTCTTCTATTTTCTGTTCTGTTAACCTGAGAATTTTATATATTTTTAAAATATTCATCAATTTCACTTAGAATGTTTGTTTTATTGACATATAATTGAGCAAAATCATTTCTAATAATTTTTATTTCTTCTTATTTGGTTACAAATTTACCTTTTTATTTTTGATACTGGTAACTTGTTTTTTTTTAACTTTTTAAAAAATAAAGTTAACTAATAGTTTATTTACTTGTTGAGCTTTATTTCCTCCCCCAGTAAAACAGCTTCTATTGTTTTTTTATTATTTGTTTTTTTCTTTCAGTTTTGTTAATCTCTCCTTTGATTTTCAGGATTTCTATTTTTTGCATTCAATTGGGTTTTTTAAAAAATTGTTCAATTTTAAGTTTTTATTTAGTTGCATGACCAATTTATTCATATATTCTCTCTTTCATTGATGAAAATGTTTAAAGAAAAAAAATGTTTCCCCTAAGTACTGTTTTTATTGTACCTTGTAATTTTGGTATATTATCTCATTATCATCATCTTTAATGAAATTATTATTTCTACAGGTTTTTTGACCCACCCAATCTTTAGGATTGCTATTAATCTCTAATTAGTTTTTAATTTTTCTTCAAAAGTGCTATATTAAATATAATTTTATTATATCATGGCCCATCAGAAGTCAAAATAATATTTTTGCTTTTCTGCACTTGTTTGTAAAGTTTTTATGTACTAATATATGGACAATTTTTGTGAAGGTGTCATGTGCAACTGAGAAATAATTATATGCTTTCTATTTGTCTTCAATATTTTCCAAAGGTTTATTATATCTAACTTTTCTGAAATTCTATTCAGGTTCTTAATTTCTTTTTTGTCTGATTTTAGTTAGACTTATCTAGCTTCGAGAAGGGCAAATTGAGGTCTCACATTACTATAGTTTAGTTCTCTCTTTCTTCCTATAACTCATTTAATTTATTCTTTAAGAATTTAGATGCTGTGCCATTTGGTGCATGTATTTTTATTATTGATATTAATCTGTTATCTAGGATGCCTTTCAGCAAAATGCTGTTTCCCTGTTTATCTCTTTTAATTAGGTCTATTTTTTGCTATTACTCTGCCTGAAATCATGATGGCTATTCTACTTTTTTTTTTTTTTACTTGAAGTGAAGCATAAAAAGATTCTGCTCCAGATTCTTCCTTAACTTTATGTGTAGTCTTTCTATTGCAAATGTGGTTTTTTGTAAACAACATGGTTCTGGTTTTTAATTTAGTCTGTTATCCTCTTCCATTTTATGAGTCAGTTGATGCCATTCACACTCATAGCTATGATCATTAATTGTGTTTTTCCCTCCAACTTATTCTCTTATATTTTTCCTTCTCATTTCCTATCTTTTTCAGAATTTATTCTGCTAATAATTAATCCCTCCCTTAATTTACCATCTCTCTGATTCCCCACGTTCCCTTAACCCTTTTCCTTCCTGTTTCCCTATTGGGTGATATGCATTTCTGTACCCAACTCTGTGTGTGGGTGTGTATGTGTGTGTTTTTCTCTTCTTTTGCCAGTTAAGATGAGAGTGAAGTTTAAGCATCTCCCACTCCTTATTACTACTCCATCACTCTCAGCTCCATATAACCCTCTTCTTGTTGATGTTAGTTAATATTTAATTTCTAATTTGGTCTCTGGTTCTAAGAGATCTGGGCAGTTTTCTTTTATGATTTCTTGAAATGTCTTTTTTGTTCATGGCTTTAAGGTAGTCTAATGATTCTTAAATTATCTCTTCTCAATTTGTTTTTCAGTTCACTTGTTTTTGCTATGAGATACCTAACCTTTTCTGCTATGTTTTCAGTTTTTTAAACTTTGTTTTAATATTTCTTTATATCTCTTGGAGTCATTAGCTTCTATTTGATTAATTCTAATTTTCAGGTAGTTTTTTTTCATTGTGCAGATTTTGTATCTCTTATTCCAAGCTATTAATTGTTTTCCCATATTTGTCTTCCATAGGTTTCATTTATTTCCCCGTTTTAACCTGTAGTACTGTCATTTTGTTTTAAAATAATTTTAGCTCTTTAAACAACTCTTGTCTTATCTCTTCTAGGAATTCTGGTTGGACTGGTGTCCAAGGTGTGTTCTTCTTTGAAGCTTTGCTTGTATATATTTTGAAATCATTCTTCTTTTGATTCCCTTTCACCATAAAAGCACTTTACGATGGGATTCTCTCTTTTTTATTTTGCTCATTATTCCAACACACTTTCTGACTATAAACTTTATTTTGGGGCCAGGATCTGTGCACTTCTGGGGGCAATGAATGAGCTGAGTTGTTTTTTTCCTTGTGGGTCCTTCTGCTTTCTTGGGGCTATTGAGTGTTGTGTTATTTCAAGATCTTACAAATGGCTTAGACTGAAAACCTGCAGTCTTTATGTTCGCAGAATAGCATTTTTCAAAATTGCCCTTGCTTTGCAAGTTTCAGGACCAGATTTAGGTCTAAGCAACATACCTGTGAGCTTGCTCCTGGATGGAAGTTCCAATAGTTCCAGTAGACTGCTGCTAGATTCAGTCACTACCATTAACCAGGAAACTCAGCAAGTTCAGAGGAACAGAAATGAGGAGTCTCCTTTGGTCTGGGATTCTTGACCTGATCATTCCTTTACAGACTTCAGACTCTTATGGAGGCCAGAACGTAGGCTGTGCTCTGCTCCTGGGGTCAGAGCCAAACAGCTACTATTTGCTTTTAAACAGACTCCTTGCTCTGTACATAGCTCAGGGCCTGCCTCTACTCCTCTCTACCACCCCTAGGAAAAGATCCTCTATTCAATCTTCCTAGGATCTGTGATAGGATACTCGGATTTGGGTAGAGAATGACATCTCTGCCAATTGGCATCTGTTCCCTCATCCTGCGCTAGTTTGGGGAGTCTCTGAAACTTCTTTCTGCCCCAGTTCCTTTTGCCCTAGTCCTCACGGTTTCAATTCTCTTTCAGTCCCTAGGTGCTAGATTCTCTAAGTTCCATATTTCTGGCCAGATCCCAGCCCCAGTGTCCACAGACTTTTCTATCTCTCTAGGCTGACCTGGGCTATGATTTTTCCATTTTTTATTTCCTGGTGGGACTTAGTTTGGTAGATCTTTAACTAGATCTTTGTGTAGAAGGTGTGTTGTAGTGTCTTCAGTATCCTCCTGGTACTGCACCATCTTAGCTTCCCTTTGTTGACTGACTCCTGACTGGTAATTATACCTCTGCCTATGTATCTGCAAGCCAGAAGCTGACAATGGTTTCCTACCGACTTTGTTAAGGTTAAGTCTCTTGTGTTTTTCTCCTCTTTCAATAAAGCTCACGATGTAGTGGTGGCAGTTCATAGACCATGCCTTGGATGTTTCAATCTCATATCAACCAACCATTCAGATTTGGAAGCGATTTTGAAACATGCTCTTCAATCTTTTAATGAAAAATCTAAGCATGAATACCTCTTTGACCTTAAAGAAGTCATGAATGCCTCGAGACAGGTTTGGATGTCATTTACTTCTTCTCTTCATACAGTTTTCATACACATATTTTAATAAAATATTTTACTAATAAGTAATCAACTAATAAATAAAATATTTCCATAAAATAAATGATAGGTGGATAATAGATTAATAATGATATTTTATAATAAAGCATATATCTATTTTATACATACAGGTGTGAACATTTATATGCATACAACATACAGATGTATATATGTACATACATGAATATATCTGTATTATATTAATTTTATAATTGATATATAATCTAGACAAAAATGTATGTCTGTACATAAAATGTATAGGTAATATTATATATGTATGTATAGGTAATGTATGTAACATACAATACATGTAATCTACATGTTGTGATATGTGTCCTAACATGTCCTAACATCTGCATACTTACATAGAGGGGCAGCAGAACATAGTGGATATATAGCCAAGATTGGGCTAGAACAATCTGAGTTTTAGTCCTGCCCCTTACTCAAACTGACTGTGTAAGTCACTTAACTTCTCAGTGATTCAGGCAGCTCTCTAAGGCACAGAAAGGAGGCTGATCTGCCGGGGTTCATATATCTACATTTATGTTCTTTAAGAACCTATACCTGGATGGGTGTAAGAGTAGGATGCTGATTGAGTCAATCAATTAACTCACCTCATTCCAACTTAAAGTGAGCTATAAGGTACTAGATACCTTAATGAAGCAATAACAGGTCTCCATCAACAAACCAATCAAAAACTTTAGGTTGAATGTGAAAGGGGGATAAACCGGAGTGACTGTTGATAGGAAGAATGTTAGGACTAACTGAGGTAACTTAGGCACTCCCCATGGGTCTTCGATAACATAAAAGTCCAGTGTAAAACTAAGAGAACGAGATTCTGAGTCAAGAGAGATTTGGAGGGCAGGACAGAAAGGAAGGTGTAGGGACATCTGCAGCTGAGCCAGAAATAACAGGCAGTCCAGGGGCAACTGGTGAAAAGAGAAAGGGAAAGTAAGATCAAGCTATGGCAGAGAAGGGAAAGATGAAATAAGATCCTGTGCCTTTAGGAATCTTGGAGCAGAACAGCCAGGCCGATGCCACCCAGCATGTGAACTGACCTCTTCAAGAACTGAGCGAGTTCCAGGAAAAGGTCTTCAACTTCTCTCATTGCTTGTTTTTAACAGGCACTGTAAAATCCTCTGTTGATTCTCTATGCAGGTAGTTCTAGTACTCTCAATTTTTTCCTCAATCACAAAGAAGGTTAACAAGAGATACATCTAAGTATAAATGAAAACACAGAGCCAAGTTTCTTTACCTGAGAGATTCCTGATATCAATGAAGTTTCTGGTTCAGGTCTTTTCCTTGCCTACTCTGTGCCAGCTGCTAAGGATTAGAAAAACAAAAGTCCCTATCCTCAAGGATCTTACAGTCTAATAGATGAGACACCATATGTAAGAATAAGTAAATGCAAAACACCTCCACAGCAGATTTGAGGTAACCTTGGAGGATCAAGCTTCAGTAATTGGCAGGGACCAGCAAAGACCCCATAGGAGAGATGCCTGATGAACATCATTATGCTGCAGCATTATGCCAAGGAAGACTTGCTATCATAGATAACACTGAGAAAAAGTGTGACTGGAACAGAAGGTGGGGAAGTCATGGCCAAGGGAGAGCCAGAGGTAATAGACAAGCATCCCCAAGTGTGACCCGATCCCAAGGGAATGGTCAAAAGAGCTCAGGGAAGGCTTCCACTGGGTTGGGTGGATTCTCCATGGAAGGATGTGGACAAGATGCTCCTGGAGAAGAGGGAGTGCCTGGGCTCCATTTGTGCCATTGATGGGATGGGGATAGTGGTGTGGAGATATCAATAGGATGTGCAGCTATACGTATACACATGTATATATATGCACATGTATATGTATGTACATACAAATACAATAATAACATGCAAATTTAATGTTTTAATAACATGCAAATTTAGTGTTTTAATAATACCTAAATTTCAGATTTGCAAAGCATTTTCTGTATGTTATCTCATTTGGTCCTCACAGCAACCCTGGGATGTTAAGTGCTATTATTACCCCCGTTCGGGGCATATGAAGAAAGGCAGGCTGAGAGACTCCAAGTGACTTGACCAGGGTCACCCAGCTGCTAAGTGTCTTAGGCAAAATTTGAATTTGGGTCTTCCTGATTTCTATTCACTGAGCCACCTAGCTGCCTTTTAAAGGTCTTGCAGGATGTCTCTGTGTCACAGATGCATGGATCACTGCATTTCCCCTTCATGTCTTAAAAAAACCACTTCAGGGCTGTTGGTAAGTTACTACTTACCCACTGGTATCCTTGGTACATTGCTCAGTGCCTGGCTGCTAGTAGACACCTAATAAAATATTTGTTGATTGATTTCCCCAAGAATAGGACAAAAAGGCATTCCTTGCTGTTCTGATTCTCTGTCCTCCCTCCCCCCTCCCCTATCACATACTTTTAAAATCTCTTATCATGCTCTATTTTGTATTTCCATGATTAGTGCATGGGCTTTGTCCCATTGACTGAAGTGTAAGTCTCTGAGGGAGGGGATGGTGATACTGCTTTTTGTATCTCCTGGCACATCACCAATCCTGTGCATATGAGAGAGACAACATCACCTAGTAAAGAGAGAATCAGCCGTGGTGTCAGGAAGATGTGGGTTCAAGTCCTGACTCTCACTCTTGCTGGATGTGTGATCCTGGGTGAGTCACTTAACCTTCCAAGTGTTATAAGCAGCTCTCCAAGTCTCTAAGTGACAGAGTAGGTACTCATCTGCACTGTGTAGGGGCTCTCCTTACTTCCTATACCAATGAAGTCAGAGGTCTAGTCCAGAAAAAAATAGAGGGTAGGGGAAAGAGCGCTGGCCTGAATCTCAGGAGGCCTGGGTTCAGATCCTGATACCCATACACTGTGTGGCCAAGGGCATGTGGTTTACCTCTCTGTGCCTCTGTTTCATCATCCATAAGATGGGAATGATAACTGGCAGCACCTCACACCCAGGGTCATTGTAAGGAGAATGTGTTGCAAACTGAGAAGTTTTGCAGTAATCTGAGCAATTAGTCTATTAGGTTGGATTGGCTACAAATTCAGTAACAAACAATTCAGTTTAAATGCACACTGGATTCAAGGCTCCTTCGTTATGGAGCTCTGCCAAATAATACAATTTCCTTTCAAATTCCTCTTATTGTAGGTAGTCAATGGGTGGAATTATAAGGTCCAGTATTCAATCATGCAGACTGATTGCTCAAAGAAGGAGGATGGACAATTAAGTGCCAAATGCAAGCCTGTGCCTCAAGGGGTAAGTGATGCTAACATGAACATTTCCAAAAGAATCTTCTGGGTCACTGCAAGACAAAATGCACCATCTGTGTCCTTCAAACTCAACTCTTCAACTCGATGAGTTATAGGATTGGGAATTGTCCAGTTGGATGCTGCATATCATGCCCCTGCTTGCTACCATTACCCCAGTAGCCAGTAGCCAATGGCACAAACAGATCATCTTATCTTTATTATAACTCAAAGTGCATAGTTGGGTGTACCAACTTGGATCACTTTTCTCCAGATATGCGGTTCTCAAAGTGTGGTCTGGGGAACCTTTCAGGACAGAGAACTGGGGTCCCATGAGTTCTACCAAAGCTTGAGGACTTTGAGAGAAGAAACTGGGAGCCAGAGGAGCAGGATGGATCTACCCAGAAGTAAGGGAGGAGAGGGAGAGAGAGAAGAAGGGAAAGAGGAAGAAAGGAAGGAAGGAAGGGAGGGAGGGAGGGAGGGAGGGAGGGAGGGAGAAGGGAGGAAGGACTAAGGGAGAGAGGGAAGGATGTTTATTTGAGTCAGTGCTTGTCTCTTTCTGAAATGTTAGTTCCAAAGGTGAATCTTGGAGTAGAGCCCCAGCATGCATTCTTCTGTGAGACAGCTTCTAGCTCCTGTAAATGAGGATCACAATGGAGGAGCTTTGTGTCATGGGGATCCTCCTCTTTTTCTCCCTTTCTATTTCTCTGTCTGTCTGTCTGTCTGTCTCTCTCTATCTGTCTCTCCCTTTCTCTCTCTCTCTCTCTCTCTCTCTCTCTCTCTCTCTCTCTCTCTCTCCCCCCTCTCTCCCTCTTTCTCCTCTCCTGTCTGTCACTTTCTTCTCTCTTCTCTTTCTGTCTCTCTGTCTCTCTCTCTTCTTCCCTCTCTCCCTCCCTTCCCCGGAGTCTTTTAAGCATCCATGAGGTTGAATAGTATAAACTAGAGCCCATCTCAAATCATTCAGATGCAGTATGATCTTTTAAGATTTCTTCTAGTCCCAGGATCTACAAAAGAAACCCAGGGTTTATGGCTCATTAGCAGTACAGTGAACAGAAAGAAGGACCTGGAAATAGAGGAACCTGGGTTCAAATCCTGATTACTTCCACTTATTTCCTGAGCAACCTCAGTCAAGTCACCTAACTAACCACTTTGGGCATTTGTTTTCTCACTTGTAACATGAAGGAGTTGGCCTAGATGATTTCAAGGGTCTCTTCTGGTTCTAAATCGATGACCTGTTGGGCCTCAGTTTCTTCCTCTGTAAAACAAGGGGGTTGGACTAGAAGATCTCTGACGTCCATGTCCACGGATTTTTGACCACTCTCCCAGATTGGGTGGTTCTCTATTACTCGGCTTCATCTTTCTTTACCCTGGGGTGGAGCCTGCAGCTTTCTCTCAGCACTACAGAGACTCGGGGCAGTTTGCTCTAGTGACAAGTTTGTCTGAGTTCATCCCTGGACCCAGCAGATAAACACTGTTCTCTCTGTCGAGCTTTCTCTTTCCTTCTTTCCTTCCAGGAGATAAGTGTCTGCAGCGATTTCACCCACGTAGATCCCCAAATGAAAATCAGTATTGTCTCCCAGGTGTGCAACCCACGTAAGTGACAGCCCTCTTGATAGTCACTGGCTTTGACCCTTACGTCTTTTATAAGAGGAGGAGGCCACGAGATGAAAAGGTACCTCGCTGAGACAGTAACATACGGGACTTCTGAAATGGAGGAGGAACAAAGCCTCAGGATGCTAACCAAGAGCTCGCCTCTGACTCTGGGGCAGCCTGTGAGCCCACATTCTCCCAAACATAGCCCAAAGCAAGCCCCAGAGCCTCCTGAGCCCACAGACCAGCCAAAATCCTGTGTGAGAGCAAGGGACCTTCCCCTCAGCAGAGCAGAAAAGCGCTGCATTTGGAGGCAGAGAATCTGGGTTCAAATTCCACCTTGGTCATTTACTGCCTCTGTGATCCTGGACAAATCTCTTGAATTTCTCCATCTGTAAAATGAGGGTTGGACTGGATAGCCTCCGAGCTTTCTCCCTTCCATCTTTAGTTTCATGGCTTGAAGTTCCTAGTTGTCTGAGCACTTGCAATTTACCATTAGAGATTTATTCCTTTAGCTTAATTGTTGGGTCTTTCCACTAGATCCTCCTTTAAAATCCAGATGCTCCTGGGAGAGGCAACAAAATGATTCACTATAAGATGTGGACAGATCAAATTAACAAACATTTATTTACAATCTCAGACTCACAGGGTCTCAGAGTGGGGAGGGAGCTCTGAGATGTCTAGGCCAACCCATGCAAGGCACAAGTGAAAGCATCCCTCCACAACATCCCTGACCAGGGGACATCTATAAAGCCCTCACTATGTGCCAAGCATGGTGCTGGGGATAAAAAAACGCATGGAGGGAGTAGGGTTTAAGTACACTGAAGGACAGGTAGAAGGAAAGTGCAGCCAGGGCTGGTGGGATGCCCCCTCCCAGACAAATTTTACCAACTTGACAAGTTTACTAACCAGGAAGTTCCAGTCTACTCCATTGGGTTTCAGTAGGGGGTAAATTCCCCCTGCTCATTGAATGCTTGTACTAATCAGAAGTCTCATATTCTAAAGTGAACTCTTGCCTTCCAGGGAGTGACTCAGGATCTTCTGTGACCCAAAAGATGTCTATCTACAGCCCAGAGCTGAATGAGCCTTTGAGATATTCCCTGGAAAAAATTAACTCTGAGAGTAAAAATAACTTCTATTTCAAGATGGACACCATTCAGAAAGCAGAATCCCTGGTTTGTGAATGAGTCTTTTGACATCAGCAGGCTTGCGGGTGGTAATTAGCCATCACTTCTGGATTTCATCATGATTTAGGTCCTAAAGCTTTGATTTGATTCTACTGGATTCAAAGAGATGTCTTTTGCTGTCATGGCCCTGGTTTTGCCACAGGCATTCAGGGGTTCCTTTACATTTATGGGGGACCAGTAAAAGTCATTTCTCTCCTTTGACTCTTCTTGCTTCCCTCATCTGCAACATGAGGTTAGACCAGGTGACCTCCCTTACTGGTCTAAATCTAGTTTCCAAGGATCAACTCCTGTCTGTGGTTATCCATGTCCTCTCTGGGTTGAAGGGAGTAGGTGTTAGCATTCCTAAGAATTTCAGGATGATATCCCCTCCCCTGCTCCCAAGCTTCACTCCCAAGTGAGCATGGGAAACCAAGCTAACTCCACAAACATTCATTAAGTGCCTATGCTATGACAGGGATTGTACTTGGCAGCAGGCTATGAGAAACAAACAAAGGTTGGCAGGTCTGGGTCCCTGCCCTCAAGGAACTTCTACATTCCATCAGGGATGGGGCGATATCACAGAGGAGGGAATACAAAATAAGTCCTAGAGTTCCAGGGGATGGGCAGTAACAGTGCGAAGAACTGGGGACATCAGAAAAGGCATCATGGGGTCCAGGGCAATTGGACAGGGCTTGAAGAGAAGCCCGGCATCCTGCACCATAGAGGTGACAAGGATGTACATGCCAGTCACTCTTCTAAGTGACTTAGTACAACACTGACATTACTTTCCTCATACAAATATGAAGTCATCAGCCAAATGAAGGCAGATCCTTCTCTCCTTATTCACCCGAAGACGTGTTTCAGACATGAGAATTTCACCCCTAGGCATCTTCTCCTCATCCCTGTGGTCATATGGCTGAGTTAGAAGTTCACCCAAACATGAGGTCTGCATGTCACATATTGATAATGATTAATAATAGGTAGCATTGACATAGTGTTTAAGGTTTGCCAAGAGCATCAAAATATTATCTCCCTGGATCCTCACAACAGCCCTGGGAAGCAGATGCTATCATTACCCCCATTTTCCAGATGAGAAAGCAGAGGCAGACAGAGGTTAATTGACTTGTGCAGGGTCTGGGAAGTGTTTGAGGTTGGATTTAAACTCAGTGTAAATCCAGCTCCAATGGTCTATTCATTGGGCCACTGAGCTGCTTCATATATACATATACATATACATATACATATACACATACATATATATATATACACATATACATACACACACACATATATATACATATATATACATGTATAACATTTTCTAACTATATACATACACATATGTGTATCTCTATATGCCATACATATATACATACACACACACACACACACACATACGTAATTTTTCCCCCCTTGCCCAAACTCTTTGGATAATTTTCTACTTAGGATGCTGCCTTAGAAATGCTAGAAGTAAGATGCTTGGGATGAAAGCAGAAACACAAACTGCTTCCTGTTGACTTTGCAGGTGGGACCTGAACCCAAATATATCATTGAATTTCTCATCAAAGAAACTGAATGCTCTAAAGAGAAAGACAAGTATTCTGAAGACTGTACATTTAAGGAGCTAGGGGTAAGTCACTAGGGAATCAATTATCTATGATCTGAGGGAGGCCAGAGTCCATTATCCAAGGGTCCTCACTCAGGGCCAGAAGTTCTTAATCTAGGGTCCATAAATTTGTTTTTAAACCATTTTAATAATACTACTTCATATAATCTGCATTTTATTTATGCATTTAAAGACATAATTCAGAGGAGCTGATAGGCTTTAAGGCTGACAAAAGGGTCGAGGACACATAAAAGGTTCTGAGCACACTGGTCTTGACCTTAGTACCATTATAAGAAAATTAGTTCAAGCTTTTTTCTTGTCGGATAATACAGAGAAAATTAGTGATGTGATGGGAATTTAATCCGATCCAACCAATATCAGGGTACCTACTATGTGCCAGGTACTTGATACTAAGAATTCAGAGACCAAGAACAAAAAAATCCATCCCTGCCTTCAAGGAGCTGCCACTCTCCAGAGGAGGTACATGGACAGAGAGAAGTAGATAGCATATAAGTTGTGAAGGAGTGGGACAGAGAAGCACAAGAGCTAGGGGCATCAAAGAAGTCTAGAAAGAACCAAAATCTGGTTCTGCTTTGCTGCTAATTCTCTATAACCTCGGGCAAATTGCTTTATCTCCATGGGCAGTAGTATCCTCATCTATAAATGAAGGGGTCAGCCTCCATGGTCTCTGCAGTCCCTTTCACTTCCTAGGATCCTATTTGTATGCAGTAAGTTAGGGGTAAGAGGCTAAGTCCGCATACCAGAGTATGTCCAGAGGGCGATGGGACATGTTGGGCTGGAGTGAAGGATACTGAAGCAGCTCGGGGCTAGCCTACAGATCGCTCATTTCACTTTTGTTTTTCTGGACAGGATGGTTTGAAATGTGTAGCGAATATCCCCATGGAGGACGAGGGTACATTTAACCCTACAGTTCACTGCGAGCAGCCAACAGAGGTAGAGTCCTGCCTTTCTCTGTCTAGTTCATGTACTGATGTTTCATGAAATGAGCGAGAACCACTTTCTGATCCAAGTGAAGCAAAACGTCAGCTTGGATGCTTCCAAGGAGTTATTAGTAAAGAGATCAACTCAGTCACCCTGCACTGGTCCACACCCCAAAACATGCACACACAGACAAGCATACATACTCCTTCTTAGGCAAGTCACTTCTTCTCCAGACTTCCCAATGATTTATGGTCTGTCTGTGTCCAAATGTGTACTTATGAACCCCATGTGTGCAAATATGTATTTCTGAAGAAATTATGTTTTTGTCATTGAACTTGTCCTGTATCCCAGTCCAAAAAGATTCTCTCTCCAGATATCTCTATATTAATATCTCTAGATATATTTCTGTATCTCTATCTATCTGTCTATCTATCTATCTATCTATCTACTCTCTCTCTCTCTCTCTCTCTCTCTCTCTCTCTCTCTCTTCAGTCTATAAAACCCGTTGAAACTTTTGGTTCAATTCAATACTATGAAGAGAATTTTTATTTACCCTCAAGGTAATTGTAAGGCCCTGAAGGTCTTTAAGCTATGGAGGGACATAAATTAATCAAGGAAGTAGCTATTTTGATCTACTGGTTTCCAGGTACTGTTCTAGGTGCTGATTTTACAAATACAGCAAGTCAGACCTGTATCTTAGCAAGATTATTTGAGTATATGGTGGATACCAGATAGATGGAGGATGGAGGAAAGAGGATGGAGGTGAAAAGACAGTTGGATGGCTCAGTGGCTAGAATTCTGGGCTTGGCATCAGGAAAAGCTTAGTTCAAATCTTTCCTCAGACACTTAGTTGTGTGATCCTGAGTCCAAATCTCTGTGCTTCAGTTTCCTTATCTGTAATGAAAGGGATGGACTCAGTGGCCTCTAGGTTCCTTGTCAGTTTTAATTCTATGCTCCTATGAGACCAACTGGAAAACTATTACAATAGTCTAGGTGAGTGGTGATGGGGGCCTGAATGATGAGGGTGGCCCTAGGAATGGAGTTAAGTAAATCGGTATTTGAGGACTTGGAAACTGATTGAAATTTGGGGTTGAGGGGTAGGAGAGAGCACCAGAGGCTGATTATCAGGAGATAAGGATGATTCCCAGATTTTGAACCTGGCTTATTGGGAGGCTACCGGTGCCCTCAACAGAAGTAAGAAAAGGGTCAGGTTCATTCTATTTTGGATGTGCTAGGTTTGAGTTGCCATCAACAGATGCAGGTGGAGATACTGAGCAGGCAGTGGAAGAGGCAAGCCTAGGGAGAAGGAGAGAGAGAGAGAGAGAGAGAGAGAGAGAGAGAGAG